ATAGACCAATCAATTTCCTTATGCTTATGCGTTATGCTTTATGTAAAAGCTTGTGCTCTCGGCTTTAAGTATAAAGAGTATTGTGAGAAATATTTATCAAAAATTTAGTTATATATTAGTTAATATCGTTAATTTATTACTTTAACACAACGAAAAATTTGTCAATTTTGCTTTAATATTTGTCTTTTTGAATTAGCCTTTAATAAGTTATTTTTATTCTTACTGAACTTTGTACTTTGCTCTTATACGCGTTAAATAAATTAAAAAGTTTATTACTTGTTATCAAGAGTTGCATTATCATCAATTTTTCATATCATCTGACAGTGCAGAAACAGTTGTCGAGTATAACCATAAGTACTGTGCACTGTGGAAAACAGGATACCATTAACATGATGCTCAAAAAAGTAAGTTACAAAATATAACAATTATTTAAAATTTAATAACAACAACTATTAAAGATTTGCTTACCTTATTGAAATTATGTTAGTCTATTTTTCAATATTTTTCTAATAGTATATTTTATGGACAAGCAGAAAAAAATATGATAGATAAAACATACTGTGACAAATACGATTATTATTATAAAATTTGTCGAATAAATTGTTTATGTAATTAAATATATGATATTAATTTTTAGGTATTTAATCCAAGAATATGCCAAAATATAGTGCGACCATTTTCAGCAGCTGCTGAGTCAGCTCAAGGATATAATTTCGGTATAAAAAACATATTTTTATCAGTATGTAACAATTGAACATATTATTTGATTTTAAAGTACAATTATTCTGTTTTTCTTGGATTGTTTTAGAATTATCTGATACACAAAAAGAAATGCAAGATCTAGCACGAAAATTCACTAGAGAAGAAATTATTCCAGTCGCAGCAGAACATGATAAAACTGGAAAATATCCATGGGATCTGATTAAAAAGGCTTGGAATATTGGTCTTCTGAATAAACATATTCCGCAACATTGTGGTATGTATACAAAGAGACATATATTACATGTTTATGTTACATATTTGGTTGCAGATATCTTAAATGTATAAATAGAAATACAGAACTGTTAATAAAAATTATACTTCAAATATTCAAATCACAATAATTTATGTCAGGTGGTCTGGAAAGTAGTATTTTTGATGGCTGCTTGGTAGGAGAAGAATTAGCTTATGGTTGTACAGGAATAGGAACTGCAATTGAAGGCACAAGCCTTGGAGTAAGTTTTGTTCCATAATACTATTTTACTATTCTATTGTAGTTAAAGTTGTAAGAATTAAGTGGCAAAATTTTTGATAAACTAAAAATTTGAAAATATTAATTAATATGAAAATTTTGAAACATTAATTTCTAATATTGAGAATTTGAGAATATGAATCTTTTACTTCTAAATGTATACATAATATTATCCTTTAATTTAGCAAACTCCACTCCTTGTAGCTGGGACCAAGGAACAGCAAAAAAAATTTTTTGGAAGACTTCAAGATGAACCACTTGTTACGGTAATTTTGAAGATAAATTTATTTGTGTTATTTTATAAAAATATATTGTAAATGATATTATTTACAGGCGTATTGTGTTACTGAACCTGGTGCAGGATCCGATGTAGCAGGTGTTAAGACTAAAGCTGAGAAGAAAGGAAAAGAGTGGGTAATTAATGGCACAAAGATGTGGATTACAAATGGTGGTGTTGCTAACTGGTATGATAGTGTGCTTTAATATGTGACATCAACTTCTAGACATAATCTTCTACATTTTTGACATAACAATCTTGTTATACAGGTATTTTGTTTTGGCGAGAACAAATCCAGATCCAAATGCTCCAGCTAATAAGGCTTTCACAGGTTTTATTGTAGAACGTGAAAGCGATGGTTTAACTCCTGGTCGTAAAGTAATACTCTGCTTTTTGCTATTTTATTTAGTTAACTGCGATAGAATAGTATTAAGTCAAATTTTTAATAACCTATTAATTATCTTTCTGTGTCTTTTAAGGAATTGAATATGGGACAAAGAGCAAGTGATACACGAATGATAACATTTGAAGATGTTCGTGTTCCCGAAGAAAATGTATTGCTTGGAGAAGGACAAGGATTCAAGATAGCTATGAAGACTTTTGACAGAACACGACCTGGGGTACATTTCCATTCATAATGATAAACATTGAATGAATTTAACATAAAATTTGCATAAACATATCTTTTTATTTACATAGGTCGCTTCAGCAGCCGTTGGTTTAGCTCAGAGAGCTTTGGATGAAGCAACGAAATACGCGTTGGAACGCAAAACATTTGATAAACCAATAGCGGAACATCAAGCAGTAGCTTTTATGTTGGCTGATATGGCTGTTGGCGTTGACACCTCCAGAACGGCATGGATGAAAGCAGCCTGGGCTACTGATAAAGGATTACCGAATTCTACATTACTTGCTAGTATTGCGAAATGTTATGGTGCTGATGTAGCTAATAAATGTGCTACAGACGCTGTACAGGTAAGTAAATTACAATAATTTATGTAGAAGAACTTAATAATTTATTAAAAATTGAGTACATATCCTATTCCTGGAATTTCTTGCATGTAATAGTTCTTTTTTTTTAGATTTATGGTGGTGCTGGTTACAATTCTGAATATCCAGTGGAAAAACTCATGCGTGATGCAAAAATTTTTCAAATATATGAAGGTACTGCGCAAATTCAACGACTGATAATATCGCGTTATCTTTTCGCTGATGCTAAGCAAAGAAACTAACAACCTAACCTAACTTAACCTAACCTAACAAAAAAAAAGAATTAAAATGTTGCACAAACAAATGTCTAAATAAGATAAATAGAAATAAGATAAATAGAAATATAAAATTGTAACTTGTGTCACTAACCGAATTAGATTGTATAAAATTTACTAAATATTTTAATACTTTTTATGATAAAATAATTGAACAGAATTTATGTTATTTTGTGATAAAATTTTGAAATACTATACATATTTTATATATCAATATAAGGTGAATGTTGAAATTTTTATATTTTTATTATATTAAAAATAAACGTGCTAAATATGAATTGTATGTGCCTGTATAAATTATGAAAAAATATACATATATGAATAATTTATAGAATGTTAATATTTTCGTCATCATGTGTAATTCATTTTTTACTATGCAATCAAAATTCATATTTTTTATTTTATTTTCTTTTTCTAAATTGAAAATTTGAATATCTAAATATTTGTTAGCAATTCTATGTGAATATATATACAGGCATTCTAATTTTTTCGCACTATATATTTTTATAAATAATATTACAAATATAAAATTGTCAGTTATTGTAGCTTATTGAACACTGTATAGAAAACATCTGATTTTCATTGTGATATTCAAATCCCTTTTTAATGTGCAAATTTGCACGCGCACAAAGCAGTTTTTCTGGCCGCCATGGCATTTTTCCATGGACTGGCATGCAGAGCAACGTAGAGCATAAATGCTCTGCAACTAATCGCATGTTTTACTCGTTAAAAGTGCATAATAAATACAATTTTTGATCGCGTGTATCGATTAAAGCGACAGATGTTTGTCGGAACATAGATGATCGCAGATGTTTGTAATTAAAGACAATTTGTCAATTTGTTGATGGCGCGGACGAGTACCGGCACATTCTCGGTAAGTACAGATTTTAATGTTTAATTAAATAATTACGTTTATTTGAAAGATTTGAAACGAAGCTTTTCTATCATATGTATATTTGTATATGCAATTTTTAGACATTTTAAATATATAGTTACAGTGAGCGAGAAAAAAGATTTGAAAGGCAATGATATGTTTGTCATTACATAACCTCATTTAACTTAGCTCTAATTTGACGGTCAAAGGGTTAAGTAACGGTCCGTATATTTTCATCACATCGCGTGTATAGGCAACGAGAACGCGACAGTCATTTCGAATTGAGCGCGGATTTTCGCTACAGAGGATGCAGTCTACGCCGAACGAGTACGTTAGTCAAGTGCATTGTACATTGAAAACAGATTACACACCGTATTATGTCCATTAAGTTGCAGTTTTTTACGCGGTTATATTTGATGAAGTCGCACGTGACGAGTTATGCAACATACGACGCAAACGGCAGCCCGCGCCGGGAGATTACATTGCAGCAGCTGACCTACTTAAAGCTTATCGTCATCGCCGATATGGGACAGCCAATCGGTCGCTACTGAGAGGTTTGTGACATATCTCTTTGAATGAAAAAGTGGTCAAAACGTCGCGAACGGCGATTTGGCTGGACGTCCCGCAAACTTGCAGATCATTGCGGTTGCGGGTTAAAGGGCGGGGGACATCTTTTGAAAATTGCGTCTTTTCGCCCCGCGACATCTCACTAACGTGGTATCAGTACCGTAATCGGCGTACAACGGCACCCGAAACAACGGTGCCGGTGTGCTCCGATCGAGGCAATGTGTACTCGTTCCCTGTATCTTAATTTTCATCTTGTGAGCAACGTTCGGTAGCTTCTGTCTGTTAAACAACATCAACGACAACGCCGAGAGTGACATGCTACAGCGAGCGAGAAAGTGAATGCCGGCGTTTGCGAGATTATGCTCGTAATTATGTTTTCCCTTTCGTTATCCACTATCATATACGCATAACGCTAGGTAGCTCTTACGTCGCCTTGCTGATGATCTGTAAGATGTAAATTACACTGACGCATGCTACGCTTGATTATTATCATATTCACATATCATTATTGGTTTATCACGATATCCCCATATCACAATCATCCGTCACACAAGCGTATCTTGGAATCCTCATCGTTCTGTCAGATTTGCATAAATGTGTTTATAAGGTCGACTTTAATCATAGGACAAAGCTAATTATTGTCCGTCATGTTGGCGCGAGTAGTGAAAATAGACAGCGGAAGAGATAGCTCGGTGAGTGTGTGCGCGATCGCCAGACGGGAAAAGATATACACGGCGGTAAAAGTGAGAGGGTGAACGTTGGAATACGCACAAGAGGGAAAGCGCGAGCGAGACATTGAATGCGCTCATGAGAGATGGAGAAAGAAAGAGGTTGGAGAACGGAGTGCTCGCTACTGCGGGACGGAGTCGCGAAGAAATAGAGAGGAGAGAGAGAATGTGTGTACGAATGTGTGTATGAGCGAGAGTAGAGTGAGAGAAAGATAACATGGGAGAAAGACATTGAAAAGGGGCACGTAAAAGAATGTAGGTGTTTTTCCCAGGAAAAGTGCGTGTGCTCAGCGCGTGACGTGCACAAGGGGGAGAAAAGCAGGTACCTCTGTCTGACTGTCTATTCATCCACTGGAATACACGAGAACCGAATGGCTACGAAGATGAGGCAGAGTGTGGAAGAGCCCGCGACGATCCTCAACAACACACCGGCATCGCAACGACAACGAGCCCTTACGCGGAATCGTTCACGTCGTCACCTTTTTCCTTCATCATGGTGCCGACGGTGGTCCTGACAGAGAATGCCGCTACAAGCGCCGGCAACCTGCCCTTGACAGGATCTCAACAACAAAGCCTGCATCAAGTGCAGCAGCAACAACAGCTGCAGCAATGGATACATATGTATGTTAGAATATCGGCTTGATCACCGACGTAGCCGTCGATGATGTCACGGGTAAGTCAATGATTCTCACTTACGCTTTTAGGGCTTTTGTTGTCGCTAATGCGCTGCTTGCAAAACACCCCCTTTCTTTTTCTACTCCTTTTATCTCTCTAAACTTCACTCTAACGTCGTCCCCCTTGTTCTCATTTTTTCCGCCTGTCTACTAACCTACTTCTCTTTTTTTGCTTGGCGGTCTTTTTTGTTTCACACTCTCTGTTTGACCTTCCTCTCTATTTGCCCTTCATCTGCCTTGAATCTTCGTCATCTGTTGTATCGAATAGCTTTTTATAAAAGAATACTAGACGATAGAATTTTTTGTGAAAACTGTTGTTATACAACATAACTGTTGTGTTAAATTTGGAAATATGCGATATATATATAACTGATTAGGCGATGAAGTTAGTTGAAGATGTCTTTCAGTTGCATTGCGAAAATTATATATGATATGTTTAACATGAAGATCTTATATAATTATAATATCAGAAAATCTGATCACTCAGAGGAAAAAAAAAGAAAAATTTTTTCTGGGTTTGATAATATGTATATAAATAAATATGATTAAAAATATATATATGGATTCTACAGAAAATAAAATTTGAAGATGGACAATATCTTAATAACTTTCATAGATAATGAAAAACAAAATGTTTATTACGAACGCAGTTTTAAAAACAAAATCTTCGTTTTTACGTAAACTTTAAAAGATTTTTTTGCAAAAAATAAAATACAATATCGAAGACAAAAATTTATTTCCTTGGTAATAAATTTTGATATAAGTAGCATTATAAATTTTTTAAAAGACAATTTTATTCAATTTTAATTTGCTTATATTATACTTGAATATGTATTATGATTAAACATCTTGGCATCTTGTGAGTTAACGAAACATTAACAGATATTTTTTTTGTACAAGCGTACTGCTAAATGTTATGAATAAATAATAGATAATAGCAAAATAGATAATAAATAGATAATAAATGATCATATTTTTCTATCAGTTCTTTACGAGATGAGCTCAGAGATGATATTGTATTATATATAGCCAGTGACATAACAGCTGCGCAAAGATATGTACTTCTAGTGATATCACAAATATAAGAAAAAATATCATATATAAGGTGTCTGTTTAAGCTAAGCAGAGTGATAAGCACGATTAAAATTGCCGCGTTCGGTGAGTCAACGCCATTGGTGCACAGTTGCTAGCAGTCACTTAGCGGTCAGCGGAAAATGACCCGCAATACAAGTTCGCCGCGCAAATCGCTATAACAACAATTAATGCCCTCCTAGGAGGTTTTAGAAATCAACATAAAATTAAACAAAAACTGCCAGAAAATTCGTAAGCTTCTCAAACGGTTTAAGACCTTCTAGAAGAGCAAGCTACAATAAAAGCAGTGCGAGAAAGGAGCACCTTTCAGAAAGTCTGAAACGCGTTCACGTATCGCAGTTATCTTTAGATTTTGTGATTAACTTGGCAGTTTCGTATCGGAAAGGTGTATGCTGACTCCTTTTGCTTTTCCGTTGCTCGTGGAATGCAAATTCTTGTCGCAGCCTTCGCGATCTCTGGCGCAATTGATCCGTTGCTCACGGAAAAGCGCAATTGCAATTCGAGAGATCGATTGCTCGCCGCTCGGTAATCCGTTGTTCGCGAAACCAAAACTCTGAAAATATTGTAAGTATCTGTAAATAATTGTACATAGTATTTCTTGATCGTGTTTATTAAAGATTGTGCCGTTCGGAAAAAAGGAAAACAATTTTCTCACCGCGCCCGTTCCATCGCTATTTTTCTCTCTCTCTCTCTTGCTCTTCGCGTTTTTCGTTCGCGCGTTTGCTTTTAAAAATTTTTCTTTTTTTTCCTCTAAGTGAACAGATTTTCTGATATTATGCATAAGCTTTTGCATAAAGTCAGTTTCAAACTATATAATTTTTCATGCAATTTATTGCAACTTAATTGTCGCAACTTATTAGTTGTAGCAATTATTTTTGTGACTTATCACTCTACATGCAACTACGTTCGCGTACAGTGTCTCACAACTTACAACTTTAAATTTAATGAAGAATTTCTTGGCCAATTTAAGATTAAAATTAAGATGATCTGAGTTGTATATCTGAATATATCTGTATATCATTTTGCATATCTGAAAAAGATATAATAAAAATTGCATTGCTATTAGAATT